CCCAGCAGCAGGAACTTTATGAGTCCACTCAATTTGGCTCGATTAATCTTAAGTAGTTTTTTTAATCTGCCATATCAAATACTTAAAGTTATTTTTAATATTACAAATTATAATTGTATTAACTTTTACTTTATTTTACTATAGATTTTTGAAAATTCCTTTAATAATGTCAACTTTTGAAGAATAAATCTTTATTACTAACCAGTGATTTTTCTTCCAGCTACTCCTATCAAACTCTTACTATTCTATGACCTTAGATAAGTTTTTTAAATTGTACTTTAAGATTTCCAGATTAACCAAATACAAGATGCCCACTTGGTTAAATGTCAGAGAAACAATGAATTATATTTTAGCATAAGTATATCCCATTCAATATTTGGGATATTGTATATTTAAAAATTATTTTTTATCTATCTGAAATTCAACTTTAGTTGGACATCATATATTTTATTTGGCAGCCCTATGTTTAAAAGTTGCTGTTTTATTTACACATTTATTGACTGTATTAATTTACCTGCCTATGTTATTAGTTTGCTTTGCAGCTTCACTGATTCAATAATAATTGTTTGAATTCAAAATTGTTATTTTGCTAGACAAGAATTACAGACTTTACATAATTGCTCTCAAGTGAAAGTATTCATAAAAACATGAAACATAACTCTTACCTTCAAGAGTTAACGTTATAGGAAGACTTTGTTCCTTAATAAACAGGATAGGCCTAAATTATCTTTATCTATTGGTAAAACATTATGAATGTGTATTAAGTAGATGATGATGTTAATTTTTAGAAATGTATAAAATCCCTTACTACTCTGTACATTTTATTTTATTGGCCCAGAAGGCTTGGGTTGTGCTTTCTGCTGTGATGTTTTCCAATGTTTCAATGAGTCTGAAAAGCATAAGAATGAATGGGTGTGTCTGTAGATTTAAAAATTGTTTTTGAAGTATTTTAAGCATGCATACAGATGAGTACATCTAAATTACCTTGGTCATATACAGTCTTCTATGCTAGATGTTAAACTTGATTTTTAAAAATATCCTAAAATGAATTAACAATCAGTAAAGGCACCGTTTATAGATAAGTTTGCTTTGAAAAATTTTCTATTTGAAGAGCTAAATTCCTTTGAGAAGCATTTCAAACGATCCTTTAATACACAGCCCTGAGCAGAACTCTATTATGTCTGATTTTTATTTCCCCTTTCTCCTCTTCAGCTTGGAAGAAAATAACGATCTTTATTGATTGTATATTTCATTTTCTTTCTTTTTTTTTTTTTTGAGATGGAGTCTAGCTCTGTCACCCAGGCTGGTGCAGTGGCGCTATCTCAGCTCACTGCAACCTCCACCTCCCGGGTTCAGGTGATTCTCCTGCCTCAGCCTCTGAGTAGTGCCACCGCACCTGGCTAATTTTTTGTATTTTTAGTAGAGACGAGGTTTCACCCTGTTAGCCAGGATGGTCTTGATCTCTTGACCTCGTGATCCACCTGCCTTGGCCTCCCAAAGTGCTGGGATTACATGTATGAACCACCATGCCCAGCCCCTATTTCATTTTCAATTGCTCAAAGATTCAAATTTTATCTAATTCAAAGTGCGTAATATGATATAAACATGGCTCATTTCTGCATAAATTGTTGTGTACAATATTTGAAAATGACCCTTTTTAGTCAATATTGTTTAACAGTGTTTGTGAAAAAGTTTCTGGATTCCAAATAAAGACTTTCAGTGCGCTGACTGCATTTGATACACTAAGGAGGGCCTGTGGGTTTGTGTAAATAGGGGTGGGGGTGGGGATGGGCAATGCTGTGTCTGTGAGTTCCAGAAGCTGTAGACAGCTCTGCTCTTAAGAGGCTTTTAGGTTTAGACATATAATCTTTGGCCTTCACAAAAATAATGAGGGTGTACTTTAAGATCGTACTAAAGATAAAAGCATGGGTGGTAACAGAGTCATTTATTTAAATGGACAAGGTTTAATTTTTTGAACTTTATACTTTAGGTTTATTTGGTTCCTGAAGCATTTTACAGACGGTGAAACACAGACTGATAAAACCAAGTTTTTCTAGAGAAAGAAAGTTATTCTGAGCTGAGAGTGAATTCTGACCTCTTCACCTTTTGTGTGGATTGTGGCACCATTTTCTGTCTCCGCCTCTGGTCAAGCCTATTCAAACCTACTTGCCATTTGACACCAGGGTTCTAGTTAAAGTGCACCATTGGCCCTACAGGTTCCCCTCTGATCCTCCATCAGGGACACCCTTGCCCACCACCTGCCACTCACCCACGGTGGCAAGCAAGACCCTACGGGCCTGCCCTGCCTCTCTCCATCTTCCCCACCATCTTTCCCCACAGGACTGTCCTGTGACCTTTCACCAAAGTGTCAGCGTATCTCCCCATGTCCCAGGACGGGGCTTTACCCAAGAGTCTCTTCTCTGTACTCTAATGGCGGGTTATCCTTTGAATGAGGTGGGTGTGTGTTATCACTTTACCTAGGAACTTCACAGTCACCTCTCTCTCACTGGACTTAATCTTTATGTCATCATTTTTATCTGTGTGGGTGTGTCTTTTCCTCTAGACTGTGAACTTCCAAAGGTCAATGATCATGTTTGATTAATTTTTAACCTGGACACCTAACACAAGGCAGCAAATATGTTCTCTCTTTCTCTCTCTCTCTCTTTTTCTTTTAAGAGACAAGGTCTCATTCTGTCACCCAGGCTGCAGTGCAGTGGTGTGATCATAGCTCACTGCAACCTCAAACTTCTGGGCTTAAACAGTCTTCCTGCCTCAGCTTCCTGAGTAGCTAGGACTACAGGCATGAACCACCATACCGGGCTAATATTTTTATATTTTTCTGGGGATAGGGTCTCTCTGTGTTGCCTAGGTTGGTACTGAACACCTGGCCTCAAGCAGTCCTCCTTCCTCAGCCTCCCAAAGCTCTGGGATTACAGGTGTGAGCCATCATCACATCTAGCCTCGGTTTTTTTGTTTTTTAACTGGGGATTAAATTTACCTGTCTGGTTCATGGGAAGAAAAAAAAAAAGATAGTCCTAATAGAAGTAAAAGTAGTTCCTGAGAAACAGTTTAGGGGGAAAAGCAGATTGTCTCAAATTAGATATGTTGAACTTGCGATAATGTGAAATCTGAGTAGAGGTTAGCAAACGGGACTGAGGGCAGACAAATGAAAGAAAATAGAAATGAAGGTTGAGCAGGATGTTTAAAGGCGGTAGCTTAAGCCATAGGCCAGCCGTCTTTTTCTCTTAAAGGTTCAGATAGTAAATATTTTCCGTTTTGAGAGCTGTACAGTCTTAGTTGTAGCTGCTCAGCCCTGCTGTTACAACCCCAGAGCAGCCTTAGGCAATGTTTAAACAAATCTTTGAACAAATAGGTGTGGTGGGATTCCATTGCTTTATTATTGGACATTGAAATTTGAATTTCATGTACTTTTCACGTTATGAAAAATTCTTCTCTTACTTTAAAAAAAATCATTTAATGGCTGGATTTGGCCAAAGGATCATAATTTGCTGACCTCTGCTCTATACTAACAAAATCATTCAAGTTTCAAGGGGAAATAAGTATAGGACAAAGGCTTATGGACTAGATCTTTGAAGCTTGGTTAGAGTTCGTTGGAATTCAGAGAAGGAGCCATCACATGTGGGAGAGGAACTAGTGTGTTGCAGTGTCAGTGAAGAGGATCAAGAGCTGGGTGGTTGGAGGTGTATGATTAAGAAGATCATTAGAAAGGTGAGGAGAAAGAAAAACACCATTAGTAGGAATCAGAAATTCACCGATGACCGCTGAGAATTTTTTAAAAACTGAAGTAAAATCTTAGACAATAGAAAAGTTAATATGTGGATATAAATTGGAAGCAGGGGGTATATAGCAATTACTCGAGGAGTTGGCAGTTTAAGTCAGAGACAAGTAGAAAGACAGCTGTGGGGTCTGCCACGCTGATTTCCTTGCATGAAAGCATGGCCCTTTATTAAGCAGAAGGCTGCTAAGCTATCTCTTGAGATTTTATTCATTGATTTAACATACACTTACATATGTTTACATACCAGGTACTGTTCTAAGGAGTTTATCAATAATAACTCTTAGTTCTCATCATGACCTGGTGATATAAACACTGTTGTTATCCCATTTTACAGATGAGCAAACCAAGGGATGGAGAGGTGACTCTTCTAGTAAGTGGCTGGTAACCTGGGTAGGATGGTTCCAGAGGGGGCTGCTTTTCGCTATTATGCATTGGTGTCAATTTTTTCATGTCTAGTTCATTAGAACATTTCTTTTTCTTTTTTTGCCCTGTGCAATGGGCCTTGCCTGTAATCCAAACACTTTGGGAGGCTGAGGTGGGAGGATTGCTTGAGGCCAGGAGTTTGACTACAGCCTGGGCAACATAGTACCCTATCTTTACAAAAACCTTTTTTTTTTGCCACTGTCATATATGGCTGAAGTTGGCATCGGAAGTACCATGGATTTATATCTTTTCTGTTGCACATATAAATTGTACAATTAAAAAATACACTTCCAGAAGAATACAGCTCTTCCATCAACCACAGCATTGAGGCATGCAAATTATATGATGAAAACGTTTCCCTGTGCTCATGCTCATATGAAGGATGTAAAGTAAGAGCTGGCAATTGATTGGGGAAACTTTCTAATTAATAAGCACTTTGAAAATACAACTTAATATAGAACGCAAGAAATGTGACAGTTTATTTGGTTTATTTCCTGAAAATCTGGATTTTATGGTGTTACATGGCAGTGTGGAATAATGCACAGAGGATGAGACATCCTAGGATGCTGGGATGGAAGCCTGCATTCTCCCCCTAGGTTTACCACTTCCTTGTGTGTAACCAAGTACAGTTGGCTCTCCATATCCATGAGTTCTACTTCCACGGATTCAAGCAACCATGGAGCAAAAATATTTGGAGAAAAAAACCACAATAAAAGTAATGCAGCAATTAAAAAAATACGTATTTTTAAACCAATACAGTATAACAACTACTTGCATAGCATTTACATTGTGTTAGGTACTATAAGTAACGTAGAGATGATTTAAAGTATATAGGAAGATGTGCATAGGTTGCATGCAAATACTATTATATCAGGGACTGGAGCATCCAAGGATTTTTGTATCCAAGGGGCATCCTGGAATGGATACAGAGGAACAACTGCGGCCACTTTATATCACATTTAATATTGAGTGAGAAAGGAAATTACTCCATGCAAGATTCTTCCTACAGTTCATTTTCTGAGAGGAAAGAGCACTTCTCTGGTCCAGGGAGATGGAAATGTGTCTCACAGCCTGAGGAGTCTCTGTCTGTCTTTAAAATGAGAGCCAGTGAGATTCATTATACAGAGTTTTGTTTTCTTGCCATTGCCTCCTTCAAGGTTTTGCTCAAATCTCACCTTTTCATGAGGACCACCCTGACTCCTACGATACTGCAGCCTGGCCACCCTCAAACCCCCCCTTTTATGTTGCTCAACTTTTTTATTTTGTCTGTTGCGCTCGTCTCCTAATATACCGTAAAATTGTAGTTTAGTGTCTAATAATTTAAGCTCCATGAGGGCAGGGATCTCACCTGTTTTGTCCAATGACGTATCCCAACTAAATGAAAGAGTAGTAGTTAGCATCGGTGCCCAGTATTTATCTTTCTGAGGAATGAATCTATATTCACATGCCATTGTTGAACACATGGAAAGCTACATGCTATGGAGGGTTGAGCATAATCAGCGTTTCTCAAGAGAACAATTTCTCTTTTCACTGGACATTTGCATGGTGACACTTAACCTCAAACACTTGTGGATTGTGCATATGAGTGTTTTTGCCCACAGCTCTCCTTGTGTCTAATGCAATGAGCAGAGCGAGGTCACTCTGCAGATAAATTTGTTTTCCAAAGGGGAACTTTGCCCGCTAATTTAAGGCAGCCACATAATCTGACTTACAGGCTCAGTCGTTTCTCATTTGCCATCTGGCAATTTAATTCCTTTAAAATAAAGCTATATATAGAATGAAAGAACACAAGTTGGAAATCTGATAATATGTGTGATAAGATGGTAATGTTTCTATTTGTTTTTTGTTTTGTTGTTGAAAAAATAAAGCGCATAGAAAGACTCGAGAAGGAATCATTTCAAAGCTTTCCCTAGACAGAGCCCCTTACATAAATTTTATTCTTTGACTAAGAGCCTTTGTTATAAACTAAATGTTTTGAATTAGTGGATTATTACATTTTTCCATTGAGTTATAAGTCTGGCCCAAAGCTATGAAATAAGAGGTTGTCAAAATTGTTTCAAAAGTGTTTGGCCATGAAGTGGAACGGGGCTGAGATGTGAGGAAGCTTCTTTTCCTTTTTCCCTTTTCATAGTATTTCCTGATCTATATTCTTTTTTTCTCCTATCCCTTTACCCCTGGAATATGTTTTTCCAGTGCCTTCTTACACTCTGTTTCTGATTTCTCCATCTCTGCTTGTGCTTCCCTAGTCCTCTGTGGTTAATTGCAAATGGGCAAAAGAACCAGCACTCTAGATGGTATATTCAAGTTAAAGAGTAACTCAGATAATGTTTGTTTGAGACGACTGTGAGGGAAGGGCGATTATGGAATTCTGAAAACCAGGAGCTTAGGTGACAATTACATTTAAAATAAAGATTAAAGTGATCAGGGTACTTTATCTAATTTCTCGTTTGTAGTGGGAAAGTTGTGGTTTTTTGGTGGTTTCTTTTTTTTTCCTTGATTGTTGTGGCAGCTAGATGCAAATAACATCACGCTTTGGAACACACAATGCTGATTCTCAATCACTGGCAAAGAAGGGTGAGAAGACAGGGCATCCTAATTTGCACAAAAATGCAACCAAGTCATCATTTGCAGCTCCTTGGAGATTCCATTCTAAAGTTTTACTGCTTGTACAAGTTCCTTTGGTATGGGAGGCAGAGCCTGGGGCGTGGTTGTGAAACAATAGTTTGGCTTTTTTACCCCCTAAATCAGTTCAAATCTGATATACCCTGAATTAACTGGAATTGCTCTCAGACTTGGCAGCTCCTGTAAAAGATCTGGATGTTCATAGTGGCTTAGTGAAATGGGGAACACATTTGTTTCATCTTGACTTCCATAGAGGAGAATCTGCACTATTTTTGTGGGCTCAGAGAGGGGGAGCTTCTGATCTGTTGGAGAGAAAACTGAATGAATGGGCACTGAGGCAGAAAGCCTGATGTGGCTGTCATGCAAATAAGAACCGTGATTGGCTTTCCCTTTCTTTCTGCGCACGATGTCACTGGCTGCTCTCAGCCTTAAAGATTAGGTTTCAGTAGGAGTTTTTCAGGTTCAAGGACTGTTAATGGTTTGTAACTGCCTGACAATATGCTCAACCTCAAAGTTACATCAGCCTGGGCAGATGTCTAAGGATATGAGACCAGGGAAGAAAAGTTAGAATCTGGAGCAGGACGAAGCTTGCCACCTGCCTCATGGGCTGAGCTTTTAATGTGATTTACATTTCTAAGCTCTATGTAGGTGCCCTGGAAATGGTGGTCTTCATTAATGCAAAGATTAAGTCTTTAATTAAACTTTTTAAGAAGAAAAGTAAGTAGTTCCTTTTCTCTTTACTACCTATTGTGTGCGTATGTTTCCGTATGTGCGTATGTCCCTGTGTGCCCGTGTGTGTGTGTGCCCGTGTGTGTGTGTGTGTGCCCGTGTGTGTGTCCATGTGTGTGTTTTAGGTCCTTCGTTCCTTTGTGTGATTAAATTAAGAGTGTGAAACAGCATAGTAGGCATGAGTTAAACTCTATACCAGGTTGTTTAAATACCTCAGACTTTTGTAACTCTAGGACAGTATTATGTGATCTTAGCATGTCTTATTTATTTATGATTGGGGTTTTAAGTGAATTTACTTCTTTTGTGCTTTTCAAAAGAAGTCCTTTGAAGAGGGGGAAAAATTATTGTACTTAATTTATGTTTCCCTTAATATCCAGTGTATGATTTTTTTGATTCTTTGGCTAAATATGCAGCTGAGGTAAGGGAGCCTCTGTGTAATGTATGACATGTTTCTGGTGGAGATAATCCCCTAAAACTCCCTGGCACTCTTTGTTGTGTATTTAAGAGCTCGAGCAAGCACAAACCGTCTAGACTGATCAGTGATTGTTGTAAGGTACAGAGCTTTTGTGGTGTGGCTTTATTGTGTGCTTACCATTGACTTACATTTCTTTAATCTAGTTGCTTCTTCATTCTCTTGAAAATGATAATTTTTATAACTACCTGGCTTTGTTTTTACATAGTTGTTGTTTTATTTTAGTTTAGTTTAGTTTTTGGACCAGTGATTTAAACTGGATAAATGTACATGGGTAGGGGCATTGATAAAAGGGGCTTTGGAGAAAGCTACGAAGAGCAGCACGGTGTGCTGATTTTCTGCAGCTTCTTGCCGAAGGCTGCTTTGGATGGGCAGATTAAAAGTGCCCCTGGCGAGAGTGAGGAACACCAGCGAAAGAGACTTTCTCATAGGAGCCAGTTGGTAGCTGTGCAGTGGGGCTGATGGTGCGACTGATGGTGCAGACACGAATGCCATTACTTGGATTTGATTTGTAATTGGCACATGGGAAAAGTTTTCATTTTCCATAGTTTCTACTCTGAAGTATGGTAACTTAATCTTTAAAATAAATGGACATCAGCATAAAACACTGATGAACTCTGGCTACACTTGGGGGGACATATGGTGAGTTTGGCCCAGTGCTAGATTATTCTGAAACACAAATGAGGGTTAAGTCAGGTCTTTGTGGATTTTGTGTATTAAGATTGATAGTTGTATGCACCGTGCAAAACATTTGCTCAACAAGAGTTTATGTGAAATACTAGGTGCTGAATGCACATACTGCTTTTGTCAAACACTAAGCAGAAAACGCACTGGACATTTCTGTTTTTAACCTGATACCTAATTCTCAATGTTTACTTTCTCATTTAGCAACTTATGGAGAAGGTGGGATCCTTTTGAAAATGAGTTATCCTGTTCAGATTCATACGTTTGTAAAATTTAGTAGCTGTAGAAAAGATGGTATGTGAGATGAGCGCTAACCTGTGGCCCAGGTTTACAAGAGACAATGACGGTTGGAAGTTTGGGGCCTCATTAGAATAATTTTTACTGTTCCTGCCACAACCGTGTTTTACCTGAGTTATTTCCTGAGCTAAGTACTTTATGTATATTGGTTCATTTGATCTTTAAAGTAGCGCTAATAACTGTGCTATAGAGTATGTTTAGTTAATTTTAGATATCTTCAAATGGATTTAATAGTTTATGCATGTGTTCTCACGTTATTTGAGAATTCATTTTATGGTCTAGTTTCCGGGTACATGTTATGCTGGGGACATGGATACCCAGTGTGAACTCTATAGCATAGATCAGAGTCAGGAAGACTTGCTCCTCACTCACGATTCAAGTATCTGCTGGCTTTACAAGGGTTACACTTGCTACCTCAAGCAAATGCCTCAGCACAAGGACTTTCTCCAATATCTTTCCAGTCTCTCTTATGCCTGGGTTACATGGCAGACATATAGAAAGTATTAAAACATTGTTGATGAATTTGTTTTGGTGCTGTCGGCCTCATTTTGGGCTCCACTGATGCCCCAACTTAGCTTGTGTTGTCAGGAAAAATGAACTAGAGACGTCTCAAGCCTCCGGGATTTAAAGAAAAATTATTATAGAGATTTATCTTAGTCTCAGGATTTTACCTGTTATTTTATCCTCTAATGTCTCGGTCTCTTCTGTGCTAGGAAAATTTAGTTGAATTGGATTGAGTTGGGAAGAGTCAATTGCATTGTAATTAAAAAAATTTTTAATATAAAAGCATTTCGTGAAAGCAGGAAATGCAGAGGGAATTTCGTAACACAAATGGATCTCCACATCTATTAGCTATGTCATTTACATGTAAATTGAATGTTTATGCTTAATTTTTAAAAAATGTAATTGAGTTTATAACAGTGATGCTCTGTAAATAATGCTGTAGAGAGGGAATATTTCTTATAAACCTCCTGGTAGGAAATTCATTTCTGTCAGGACAGTCTAACATTTACTGTTGCAATGGCATTATACAGTTGAGTAACTGATATTTGTTGTGTGTGTGGGAGGGGGTTAAGTAGGAATTGGAAGTCTCTATCGATTCTGTTCATTGTTTTCAAACATTGAAGTAAAGGGAGGACCTGAAATGCTGGGAGGCAGTTAACTGAGCAAATGATTCTATGAAGACATTGTTTGGAGGGTGAACACTTTCAGCTTTTCCTTTATAAATAAACCACTGTGGGCAAGACCCCTGGAATCTAAGATTAAATCTAATTTGGAATTTGCTCCATTGCTCCCTTGCCGGCCCTTACCCGTGGATGTGTTAGGCATGGAAACACATCATGATGTAATGAATTTGTAGCTAATGAAGCCTAAGTTGACACATGAATGTATTCTATCTTTTTTTCTATAGCGGTTTCCAACCTAGATGAGGAGAGCCGATGGACAGTCCACTACAGCGCCCCATGGCACCAGCAGGAGAATGTGTTCCTTCCCACCACAAGACCCCCCTGCGTTGAGGACCTGCACCGCCAAGCCAAGCTCAATCTCAAATCAGTATTGAGGGGTAAGATGGCATCATCTGTGAGCTTATTTTCTTGGTTATTGGGTCCTGAGAGTATAAACTTGATATATATCTATCTATAAAACCAGATCTACTTTTATTGAATGTGTAGTAGGCTGTGTCTTTATATGATGTCATAAATACAACCTAATACATGCTGATATGGTTTGGCTGTGTCCCCACCCAAATCTCATCTTGAATTGTAGCTCCCGTAATTCTCATGTGTTGTAGGAGAGACCCAGTGGGAGATAATTGAATCATGGGGGCAGTTTCCCCCATACTGTTCTCGTGGTAGTGAATAAGTCTCATGAAATCTGATGGTTTTATAAGTGGACACCCCTTTTGCTTGGTTGTCAATGCTCTTGTTTGCCACCATATAAGACATGCCTTTCACCTTCTGCCATGATTGTGCGGCCTCCCCAGCCATGTGGAACTGTGAGTCCACTAAACCTCTTTTTCTTTATAAATTATCCAGTCTTGGGTGTATCTTTTTCAGCACTGTGAAAATGGGATAATACACATGCCTAAGATGTTCTGGTCTCTGCAGAAACTTGCCTATTTGCAGATATGCAAATCTATTTCCAGGAGCCCACACCTTCTCAGAAACACTTTAGCATGTTGAAACCACCAGTGTTAATTTGATCCAAATAAACCACTGCTGACATGGGCAGTTTTGCCACTGTCTTTTTAAAACCATTGTAAGTATTCAAACCAATTCGTTTTTTTGAACACATTTGTTTGTTCTGTTTAGTTCAAGCCGGCTGGAAGAAGGACCTATATATAGACTTTGAAGATGTGCTAAATGGTTTGATTTATCAGAACTGTGTAGCACCCAACTGGGCTCTCTGAGCCTAGGTTCTGACAGCAGATGAGCAAGGTATACTTGGTCAAGTGGAAAATATAGGAAGAATGTATTCCTATATCTAGTTTAAAATTCTCATTTTTACTTGAATTTATTGTGGTTTGTTTTTCTTATTGAGATGAAGTCTCACTCTGTCACCCAGGCTGGAGTGCAGTGGCATGATCTTGGCTCACTGTAACCTCCACCTCCCAGGTTCAAGCAATTCTCCTGCCTCAGCCTTCTGAGTAGCTGGGATTACAAGAGTGCATCACCACACCTGGCTAATTTTTGTATTTTTAGTAGAGATAGGGTTTCACCACATTGCCCAGGCTGGTCTCAAACTCCTGACCTCGTGTGATCCACCCACCTCAGCCTCCCAACATGCTAGGATTACAGGCTTGAGCCACTACACCTGGCCCAATTTATTGTTGAAGTTAAAAAGTAAATGTGTGGCAAGGAGGGCAGCCTAAAGGTGACAAAGAAGGAAAGTAGTTCTTCAAAGAGGAAGGAGTGACTTGTAAAATTCAGAGAGTCTTTCTTAGTACAACAAACCAAACTTCTTATTCTACCAGATACTGCTCCCACCAGACTTCTCCTACCATGCAGTATTTGGGACATTAGTATACCAAAGAAGTATTTGTTATTTATCTGAAATTTAGTTTTACTGGGGCTCTGTATTTTATCCTATTGTGGAAGACTTGACTTTGGGAGAAATTCTGTCATTGATTCAAGGAAAATCTAGATAAATAATTTTATCTTGTCTACCAGTCACTTATGAAGTGGTTCATTCTTTAATGTACCACCATTACGATGACTGATAACATTTATTAAACACTTACCTATAATGCCAGGTACTGTTCTAGGTCCACTAAATGTATTACCTCATTTAATTTTCCCAGTGATCCTACTGCTTACTGTTACTATGCCCAGATGGAAAAACAGAAGCACAACGATTAGAAACTTGCCCAAGATCTCCAAGTTAATTAGCAGTAGGACCAGGATTTAAACTTGGACAGTCTGAGGCTGTGGAGCTCATATTCTTAACTGCTACACTATACTGCCTTTAACAATGATTTATTTATTGGGAATCTGTTATTCTGGCAGAATTGCAGAGTACAAAGGCAGGGTCCTAGCTCTCAAATAATTTATGCCTGCATCTCTTGTGCAAATCACAATGTGGAAAATACTGAGGAGACAAACCAAAAATTACTGTATGGGAATTAAAGAGAGCAGATAATTTCTGCTTGGAGAGAGAAAGAATAGCTATCCATAGGTTCACCAAAGATTTGGTGTTCTGAACAGAACTGTGCAGACATTTCAGATCATGGCTCTATTTTTTGTTCCTTTCATCTTTTGTAATGCTTAGATTATCTAATGGATCTTCCAGTATCTTGTATCTCATAGCTTTGCTATTGGACTATTTAGAAATGAGGGCATTGTTGGTTTTCCTTTTTATTTAGCCTGAGTAACCTCTATCTTTAGTGACTTCAATCTTAAATGAGAAGAATGGCATTTGTTTGGTTCGTTTGTAAATGGCCTTGGAGTTGTGCTTTGAGCTTTGTTGCTGTCATAATATTGGTCCCTTAATGTACCTAAATCCAACCAGAGTTTTTTCTAGATCCCTTTAGTTTCTGGTGATTCATCTTTAGTAAATTGTGACCAGGAACTTCTCTACTTATAGCTCACCTTCCTCCACCAAATAACTAATGAGAATGTTAAATGGCACCGTTCCCAGGACAAATCCCTGAGGCAGTGCCTGGTTAGTATTTCTCTGCCCAGCTCCTAAGCAACAGAGCACTACATGGTCTGGCTTGTAGAAAACACTTTCGTGAAGGTATGTGTGAGTTTGAATATTCAGGCTCAACTGTTTTTGATCACTCTCCAGGAAACTGTGCTTCACTCCGTATTTCATGTATTTTCAAGTTCCAGATCAGGACTTCACTTCTCTCCCCTTGAAAAACTGAACATCTGTTTATAGGCATTTCTGCTTTTCTTTAGGAATATGCAGTACATCTATATGAAATATCATATATCCCCACTGGTTTTGCCTAAACTTGAATTTGATTTTGAAAAGATAAATGCTTTCATAATTGCTTTAATGCTCTAAAATGGTTCATCAAAGGGATTTACTATTAATAAAATTAATAACTTTGGAAAATTCCTGGAGCGCAACCTTTAAAGTCTGGATTTTAAAACTTCGTAAGAGATTTTAGATAAATTATAGACTTATGAACAGTGGTTGGGAAGGATGAAATGAGAAAGATTATCTGAGTTCTTTTGTTCTCAGTTATTTACTTTTAACCACATGTACAGAACTTCATGGACCTCTTCCCCGTATCATCTTAACAACCTGAAATAAACACAACATGAGCACAAGGTATTAATTACCTCATTTCAGTGAGGATTAAAAAATCAGTCCCTGAATATGTGGCACTATTAAGATTTGATGTTATATAAATTATCAGTCTAAGTTCATTCAACCTCAGCATTCTCTACTTAAAAATATAGAAAGGTAGCCAATTATTCACAATGAGTAATCGATTTTGTTTCTTCTTCTATTCTTACTGTGTCCATAATTTTAAGAAAAGAATGCCATTCTTTAATATTAAACAGGTTATTGCTTTTTCATCGCCATTAAATGCTTATTGTATGAATTAGTCTGTCAGTTTTTATGGGGAGCTAGTCTACTCTTGGGAACCATAAAGTGTGAAAGGAAATGACACAGCGAGTATCAATAAATGAATAATGAAATGTAAACATATGCTTTTTAAAATAATGCATAAATCCTTAGTAGTTAACAGATTAACTGAAGAAGCCACAGAATTACTGGAAAATGTTTGGTGAAAAAACTGAGTTTGACTTAGTACATAAAAGCAGATAATAGACATAAGTTAATCAATATTGAGCATCTGTTCGGTTCTATGCCAGGACTGTTTAAATGAACGGATGAAAGTTCCTGGGTCCTCAACTTTAAAGAGCCAGGCCTGCTGTCTTGGCAGCAGCTTGTAGCAGAGCTTGAGGTTTGCTGCTGCAAGCTTACTGTCTTACAGTAGTAAACAGACAGTAGTGTGATGGAGGTGTGCCTGAGGTACATTGTGCACACAGGGAGAGAGGGCTCAGTCAGAGAAGAAAGAAAAGCCCTGGGAGGTCCCCTGACTCCCCCACTTCCTCCTGCTCCCATCCTCACATGAGAGAGGAGATAGTCTTTCAAGATGTGTAAAATGGCATGTGAAGCAGGCTCTTGTCCATGTCTAGTTTCGCTCTACTCTGATCTGAATATAGCAGATACCTTTTATATTTACAGTTGGAGAGTCTCTGGAGACTTTGATAAAATATGATGGTCACAGGCTTAGATTAAATGTCTTGGTTTTGTTTGTTGATTTGTTTTGTTACTAGAGATTTAGGTAATGGTTCACTGCTAATGAAGATACAAACATGTACAGGTTGAACATCCCTAATCTGAAAATTAGAAATCTGAAATGCTCCCAAATCCAAAACTTTTTGAGCACTGACATGATGCTCAAAGGAAGTACTCTTATGAGCATTTTGGGTTTTGGGATTAGGGATTCTCAATCAGTAGTTATAATGCAAATATTCAAAAATCAGAAAAAATCCAAACTCTGAAACATTTCTGGTCCTAAGCATTTCGGATAAGAGATACTCAACATTTACCCAGATTTAAAAATGGCATTTTAATATTTGGTTCAATAGACACCTGGCTAGCAACAAAAAATAAATTTTTGAAGATGGATCCCATTATCTGTGAAGAATTCACTCAGCTTCTTACTGAGTTTCCAGAAGAAGTCTACCTTTTTTACATCCAGCATTGTTTGAATCCTTCATGAACTTCATTGGAGATAGCTGTGATGATAAGTAACCTAAAGCTAGCTAAACATTTATCTGCATAGTTTTTAGCTTTATGGAAAGGGCTACAACTAAGTAGAAAAGAAATCAAGAGATAGGAGTAAGCTGAATGAGACCTTCAGATTTTGCTGTTTTGTCACCTGTAGACCTCATTTGACAACTATGAGCATATTAAAGGCTGAAATAAAGACATGTCACTTTTAAGGCTCCATCCCCCAAAAGCCCAACTTGGGAGGGAGATAAACATAATTTCTCACAGTGTGTTTAACAGGCACTTTAGTTACTGTCTCTGTGTATG